CTCCTTCTCGTTGTTAGAGAGCACCTCCTCCTCCTTGACCGTTGAAGTGGTGGATGCCGGGGGCCATGATCCGGAGCTCCCCGCGGATCCACCCACCAACGTTGAGGACCACTTGACGGGCCTGCCCACCGTTGATGCGTGCAGAGAAAAGGAGAGGACGATAGGCATGTAAGTGGAGAGGATATCAGATAGGGTTTGGCGGAGCCCTGAGCCAGGGTAGGCGTACCGACGCCGCTTCAATGCGGCACAAACGGCCGGAGTAGGCTTCTCGATCATCGCGTCCACATTGAAGCGACATCAGTCAGTCGTCCGGTCACGAGGGTCAGGGGCGCGCCCCCTGCCTCGTGGGCCACTCGAGTATCGTCTCGCGTTAATTATTCTTCCCAAAAATCATAAATATTCCAAAAAAAATTCTTCGTCCGTTTTTATTCCATTTGGACTCCGTTTGATATGAGTTTTCTGCGGAACAAAAACATGCAACAAATAGGAACTGACACTGGGCACTGGATCAATATGTTAGTCCTAAAAATAGTATAAAAAATTGCCAAAAATATATAAAAGTTGTAGAATATTGGCATGGAACAATCAAAAATTATAGATACGGCGGAGACGTATCAGATCACATCTGACTCGTGGAGTCCGTTCCGGCCTCACAGGTTCCTTCCCTTAAGCGCGCGGCCCCTTAGGTTTAAGTCAGTTTGGTCGCAGGTCGGATCACCTCCGACCTATTCGGCTGGCAGCGGCCTCTAGCAAGGCGTGCCAACCACCAAGCATACAATGAAGCCAGTTGGTGAACCTGTACATCATACTTCCATTCCTTTTGCCCATTGTTATGGAAATCGTTAATTGGTAGCTGCTCGGTCGGCTGGCGAGTAGGGGATTAATAGGCTAATCGACAAGTTAATCGGCCATTTAATCAATTCATCGGACGATTTATCGGTTTATCGGCTACTTGGTGACCCTACGAGTAGGGATTAATCGCCAAGTTAACTAGTTAATCGGATGAATTCTTGAACAGGGCTTTTGCCACACGATATATGTTGTCGGGCTCAAGGCGAGTCTGTCATCCTTGTGCTAGCCCGACCTCTTTCTCGTTCCAGTGATGCCGATCACAAACTGGATTATCTCATAATCCTTGTCGCATGACCATGCTTATCCTGGGCGGATCACATGAAGAGCCCAGAGTATATCTCTCCTGATCGGAGGGGCAAATCCCATCTTGCTCGACCATGTCTCATGGCATGGATCCGGACAAGCCGAAAGCTACCTTTGTAACTACCCAGTCACGGAGTAGCGTTTGATTGGCCCAAAGCAGGTCTGTCACCATCCCGAGTACATGCGCCAACTCAGGTCTTAGGACATAGAACGTATGTTGTACTAGAGACTCACAGATGACATATCGCCGCGTCTCATAGTTGGATCTGTCCGACTCGGATCCGACTACGTCGAATCCGACCAGATCCTTCCGGGTCCATATTATCCGGTTAGCATCCAATGCTCCATGGCTAGTGAGACCAAGCCATCGATCGTGTCATATGCTAGTCTAGTCGGCTGCGCGTCCACACAGCCCTTTCGACTAGGGACCTTTTAGGACAGTCATCATACAATGCATAGTCCCACAAACAAGTCACGTACTTGCTGATACACATCATTGATAATGTCCAAGGACTATCTTTATTCATAAACAAATAGGAGATATCATAATACATGATTGGCTCTAGGGCATATCTCCAACATGCTCAGGCTAGACCATGACAGGCAGCCGGCAAGGGTGGTTTGGGAGTCTCCAACACCGTTGGTGATAAATCTAGGGCTAGATCGTGGTGGGCTCTGAGGGCTGCATTGGATCTGGCCCATGGAGGGCCCGCTACTTTGGTGGCCCATCTTCGAGGGTTGCCCTAGCGATGATACTGGTTGGCCCCAATGACCCGTGCCAAATGCTTCTTCTCGGTGACGCACCATAGAGGTTTAGCCGCGCGCGAGTTTGTGGGCTTTTCGCGTTCTCGGATTGCTTTGTCGTTTATTTTTCTTTGATCGGCCCTTGAGGATTAACTCGATACTTTGTATCACTTGGTCGTGTGGCTTCATTAATATGGAATGCTACAAAAACAAAAACAAAAATCAATTATATTATAATAAAACGTTGAAAGTTTATTTCCAAATGTCCTTTTATTTTCAAAGGTGCACTTTTATTTATTTTCAAAAGAAGAAGAAAAGGCGCCGGTCAACGTTCAACGTGCATCTTTTTGCTCGGTCGCTGTTCTTGGTGGGTCCCACGAAACAGAAACCCTCACCTCGCTCGTCTCATGGCTCCTCTTCTCCTTCCACCCCCACCCCATTGGAGCATTGGAGAGGAGCAGAGCACCAGACCCACCTTCTTGACTGAGCCGATCCAGCTATAATCAAGAAGATCCCCTCCTCCTCCTCCTCGGCTGGACCGCCTTGGGGCGCAGAGCCGAGGCCTCCGGTCGATCTGTCGCGAGGGTGAGGATTAGGAACCCTCTGTTTCTTGGAGTTGATTTGATCCCTGAGGGTTTGTTTAATTTCAGAGCACTGATCGCGGCCTCGCTTCCATCTTGTTGGGACTTGGATGTGGGGCAAGCAGGCGGAGCGGACAGGAAGAAGTAGGCTGGAGGTGGAGTGAGAAGGGGAAGCGGAGAAACAAAGGTTTACTCCACGCCCTCTCTTCAAGATTTGTTATTTTCTGATCATCTATTTCCGAACGAAATTGCTTCCTTTTCTTCAAAACATCGAGAGCTCACTCATCCCACCGAAGTCAGCTTAAACTAGTAGTACTAGTAGTGCGTTGAACAGTAAAACAGAGATCTCCTGACATATGGTGGTGGTACTAGTTGAATACGATTTGTTTAGGCTGAGCACGCCCTTCAGCCAAAGCACCTGGCTAAAGGCACAGCATTTTCTAAGGTTTTGTCACGAACGAACCTGCTGCCCTTGTAAACTGCAAGCACAGTTGTAATTTCTGAACACATCTTGCAGAAAATTCAGAGACCTGAGATTTTGTGACTCCAGGTCTAGTCTAGTGTGAAATTCAGTAAACGAATCCGTAATAAACTCGTCCAGCGTGTCGTATGAATCAACACAGATGCTAGTGTTCTGCAATTATAGGTCTTTGAACTCGCACACTGGAATATATATATGGGGCGTTTGTGACTGCCTGCATGACAAGACTGTTAATACACTCATTTGTAGCTTCATTTTTACATGACCAGACTACCTTCTGTTTGCAACATCCAGCTAAACTATGCTGTATATCGTCAGTAGTAAAAATCAAGGGTCTGTTCTGTGTCATCTTAAGAGTGTACTGAGGCTAGATTATTTCAGAGCTCGAATTTTAGGATTTTTTCACAGTTAAGATGAATTATGTAAAGCGATGTTTACTTTAAATTGTAAACTGCAGTGCCATTCTTTTGCTCCTATGTACAGTGCCATTCTTGAACAGTAAAACTGAGATCCTTCATTGGTGATGGTGGTTAAATATAAATATGATTGTTTCGGATAAGCACAACTTTCAGCGAAATTATTTGGCTAAAGGCACACAGAAAAAGTAAAGGTTTAGTGAAGAACAAACTTCCGGCTCTTGTAAACTGCAAGCAAAGTTTTCTCCGCCAACTAGGCTCGTCTTCGCTTGTTGAATTTCTGAACATATCTTGCAGAAAATTCAGGACCCTGAGATTTTGCGACTCCGGTGTGAAATTCAGTAAATTAACCAATAATAGACTCAACCAACATGTATGAATCAACACAGATGTTGAGTTTTGCAATCATAGGTCATGATTGGCTGCACTTAAATATAAAACTCGCACACTAAAACATAGGGTACCCTTAAATATAAGTCATGTTTATGATTGGCTGCACTACAATAATGTTAGTAAATTTGTCATGAATAGTACTTTCACCGTTTTATACTTTACCACGTCTATTTAAATGAAGAGATTTCGTGTGTGTATTAAATAAAGGGAGTTTGTGACTTGTAGAGGCTATCAAGGCAAATTTAACAGTTGATTTCTTTGATATAGTTGTATTATTCATATGGTATTAATATCTCAACTCTTAAAGAGGGATAAGTTGACGATTCAGCAATCAACTTACAGTAGTGTTGACTTGCAGAATACTAAGTTTATGGAATGTGTCTACCGGAAGGAATTTCCTCAGTGTCACCTGCGTATGGTTTCATTTTTATTGATAAACCATCATGGTCTGGTTTTGACTTACACATTCAATACAATTATGTGGTATACATAAAAAATAACATATCAACACAAGGCTTTCTATTGAATACAAAAAATAACATATTCTGTCTGAAAAAATAACATATCAACATATTCGATACAATATTGTGGTATACTCAGTTAGCAAATACATAACCATCAGCATACCTTTCCAGCTTTTCCCCTTACTGTTTTTGACATGGTTTATCTGGTGATCTATGCGCACAGTTTGATCTAGTTCGATGGATATAGCTTCAGCTCTTTATGTTCCTGCACCACTCTTCATTACTCACTGCTCACACATTTTTACTATTTCAGGCCACACAATGACCTTAATAGATTTCATAGAGCTGAGTGACGATAATATTATTGACTTGAGCAGCGATGAGGAGACTGTTCAAGAGGATCAGATTGCAACTCAACACCGGGCGATGTTGCTTTATAAGCAGGGTGTGTTTGTCCTAGCTGGTGAAGGAAGCCGAGGGGTGCAGGCCGTGTTTGTTGCAGCTGGTGAAGGAAGTCAAGATGTGCAGGCCGTGTTTGTTGCATCCAGTGAAGGAAGGCAAGAGGCTTCTGAGCCCGGACATGCTTTGGAAGCTACCGCATCGTCCATGATTATGGAGGAAGCACCTCTTGTTGCAACTAGTCAAGGAAGTCAAGATGTGCAGGCTGTGTCTGTTGCAGCTAGTGAAGTAAGGCAAGATGGGCAGGTTGTGTTTGTTGCAGCTAGGGAAGGGAGGCAAGAGGCTTCTGAGCACGGACATGCTTTGGAAGCTACCGCATTGTCCTTGGTTACGGAAAAACCACCTGTTGATACGGTTGTGCTCGCTCTCCCACATGCTGGATCACCGAATTGTCTTCGCTCTCCAACATCAACGCCATTCGCCGGTAAGTTCCTCTCGTTCTCGTTTTGTCATTACAATTGTGTATTTCTCATGCAAACGATCCATTTCAATGCAAACATTGCAACAAATTCCTAGGCTTTGAAGTGAACAGTGGCCTTACCGGAAAAATTGTTAACGGTGACTTGCTGCAGGCCTGACTTCCACCACTCCGAAGGCTCTGACGTCTGAAGGTGGCGACACAAAGCTGGTGAGAGCAAAGGTGAAACGTCCTAGGAAGAACCACCATACCGGCACTCCTAAAGCTGTGACTTCTGAAGGTGGCGACTTAAAGCTCGTGAGACTGGAGACGAAACATCCTAAGAAGAAGAACCATACAGAAAAACCACCTCTTGGTACGGCTGTCCTCGCTCTCCAACATGCTGAATCGCCGATTTGTCCTTGCACATCAGAGCCATTCCCCGGTAAATTCCTCTCTATCCCTTTCTCGTTACAGTTGTGTGTTTTATCATGCAAACAATCCATATCAAAGCATACATTGCAACAAATTCCTAGCATTTGGAGTTAACAGTCGCCTTCCCTGAAAAATATTAACAGTGATCTGCTGCAGGCCTAACTTGCACCAGCCCGAAGGCTCTGTCCTCAGAAGGTGGCGACGCAAATCTGGTGAGCGGGAAGGTGAAACATCGTAGGAAGAACTACTGACCCTGCAAACTAACTCCTTAGACTGAATCTTTCTAACTACTGTTGCTGTAGTTCATCTCATAGGTAACCACTCTTATTGTATCCGTACTGGGATCGGAGCTCGTGTTGCCCCCCATCTCTCTGCATTCGTCTAGAATGTCAGTTGTGGGTGATTTTTGGACTGGCTTTGTCAAGCACTTCGTTAGGTGGTATTTTGGTGAACCTGGATATGGCGCGCAGCTGCTGTTATCTGGGAGCTTAGGAAACTACTTAGAATTTAGATTTTTTTGCCATCCTGGCTCCAAGCTGAGATGTAACCAAACCGACAATAGACCGAAATTTGTGAGAGTAACTGCATCTTGAGTTTTTTGTAAAAAAAGAGTGTTTCACTTTGGTAGATGAAGCTGAAGCTACAGCTTAGCTCTGTCCGCAGATGAATGTAAAAGTGTGAGTATAACCTTCACACTTGGTAATGTTATGCATGACATAAGTGTTCTTTGCTGTGGTTCAGAAAACAAGCTTTTGGAGCATGACATTTCTGCCTTGAAAGTTCCTTTTTACATTTTGCGAAGACTTGAAAGTTCTTTTAAAATTATCGATTTAGTGCTAGCTATGAAGAGAAAATTGCAGACATGATATGCATCTGACAAAACTGGAAGAGAGCAGGCAATAGTTTGTGAGGGCGCGGGACTGTTTTTCAAAAGAATTTGTTCTCTTTAACTAACTCTAAATGGGTACAATAGAGATATATTTGGAAATAAGTAAAAAAAAACATTTGCGCCATTAGAAACCCTAAGAATACAGGGATTTTAGTCCTACAAATTTTTGACTCTATAAAATTCTAAGGTTGCTCCGTCAACTCCTATAACCTTCGGGTCCTTGCCATCTTTTCTTTTTAAAGAAAAAAGTGTAACTCGTAATTGACAAAGACATAAGATGGATCCATATTTGTAACAGCGCCTCCCCCTCCCCTCCCTCAAACCTAGCTCTAGCATTTGAGGTGGACGAAGAGCAGAACCCTCGTCGACAGGAAGAAAGAGTTTATCCAGAACGACGTTCCAGACATGTTGTAGCGAAACCTTTTAAAACCTTGACACCCGGTATTTGAAAAACGAAAGGATTAGACATGTTGCGAATGATGAATGATCTATCAGAAGCACCGAACCAACCCCCTCCCTCCCTCGTCCCCTTCCTCCTCGCCACCGAGGGCGCCGCCGGGGCCTCTCGCCCCCCTCGGACACGGTCTTCAACGCGGGCTGCGTCGTCGTCTTGGAGGCGCGGTGCTGGCGTGGGGCGCTGCGGCGACGAGGCGCACGGTTGTGCTGCGGCGGCTGCATGGGGTCGTGCGCGCATGGGCACGGACCGGCATCGTTCTGGCGGTGGATCTAGATCCAGGCAGCCCGAGCCCCAAGCGGCGAGGGCGGCGGCTGGGGTCCAGCTTCGGGTTCCTGGCAGCTGCGGATGGTCCTTCCCTGTCGCGGGCGCGCGGCGGTTTCGGCGGCAGCGCACTGCCTCGGGCGGCACAGCTCCGAGTGGTGAGGAGGTGGTGGCGCTGTCACTTTGCTGCGGGCTGCCGCGGCGGCTGGCGGCAGCGCCCTTCTGGCCTAGATATGGGCCCCTTGGGGCCCATCTGGGTTTGGGCGGGCTTGGCTCAACTCCGCTTGCGACGGCTCCGGCGGACGGAGGTGCGGGGGGTTGCGGGGCGGTGCGTCCACTACAGCGTGGCAACGGGAGCTTCACGGGCCATTTCGAGCTCGACCGGGCCTATGTGCCTCGTGTGCTCCTCTTGCTGTGTCCGGTCGGTGGTCGCCGATGGCGGTGGAGGTTATCCCCTCCCGCGTGGATGCTGACGCTGCCGCTCCTCGTTCCCGGCTGCTCCCTCTCGGACCCGTCGGTACCGCTTCGATCTCCCTGGTGAGACGACGATGGTGAGTCCAAGACCGTGGTGGCGCATGGTGGTGGGCAACAAGTGTGGTGGAGCGCTACGGATCGGTCGGGGTGGTGGGTGTGTGGTGAACAGGAGAAATTCCTGTCGGCTTAGCCGGCACCGATGCGGCGACGCATGTGGGCGCCATCGTTCCTTCCTGAAGGGCGTCGGGTATCCCCCTCACCCACGCCCCTCCGCGTACCGGGGAAAACCCCAGGACCAGTCCGAGCAGCAGCGTCGTCATCGTCGCGATCCTTCCTGAAGGTCTTGCTTGGTATGCGGTGGTCCAGAGTGCGAGGAGTGTGGTGGAAATCTCCGGAGGGCGCAGCGGTTGCGGATCGTTATCGTTTTCGTTTCTTTTTCTTTCTCTTTTATTTCTTTTGGCCGTGCTTGTGTTGTCTGCCCCAACAGTGAACTCTCAGTTGTATCGGGTGGTTGCTATATCTATATAGCGGGGCGAAAGCCTATTTCGAGAGACATGCTGTGAATCATGTGCTTAGTAGTAGAAATCCGTGTGGGAAAATTGTTGCTAATATAACATTTTGTTGTCAATGTTGAATTCAGTGGGCAGAAGCTTAGGAACTGTGGTGATGTCATCCAAAAATGTGTTTTAAAGAATGTATAAGAAGTGGGTAGTCACCACTTGTTTCAAAAGAAAGAATGTGTGGATTTCAATCAACATGCTAGAGTGCTTTTTGAAGAGCCAAGTTGAAACCAGTGAGTCGGGTTCGTCAGCACGATTCCCTTGCTGCCACACTAGAGATCCGCCTCTGATGCAGCAGGCAGCAGCAGACCACGAGAAAGCAGCGCAGCGCAGCGCAGGAGGCGACGGAGTTGAGGTCAGGTCGGTCAGTTCCTTGTCCTTGTCGTTGTCCATGGAGCCGCAGTGGGAAGGGATCGTGATCAGCAGAAAGTGGATCTCGACCCGTGGCCGTGGCTTTTCTTTTCCTCGTCTTGTCTGTGAGACTCTGTCCGGCGGTACACGGGAGTTGTAGTAATTCTTCGTGTGGCTCGTGGACAAGAATTTTCCATGCCCAAAGCATATTCTCTCTCTTTTTAGGGGAAAAACGTTGCCAATTTATTCATAATTTGCGGCCCTCTCGGCCATTACCTCGGAGCAAACACACCCCGGAGGAACATGGAGCCAAGTTTTACATAAGGAATTACAGCAACACTCCGTAGCTAAAATATGTGCGACTTTATTAGCCGGCAGTCACACCCAAGCAACCTTAAACTCCTCAAAAGACCCAAGTAAAACTTTGATCTCCTCAACTAGTTGCCCATTAGCTGGGAGATCTTTTTGATCACCTAAAACCTTCCTCGCCGCCACCTGTGTGTCCGTCTCCAAAATCACCTTCTGCACGTTGATTTCTTTTGCAAGGGTAATGGCTCGTCTACATGCAAGTAATTCGGCAACCTCAGCATCAGCAACACCCGGGGAAAAATGGCATGCACCTGCTACAAAGTCGCCATGGCTGTCCCGAAGAACAGCACCGCCCGCTCCTGATCCGTGGGCTAGTGCTCCATCTGCATTAGGCTTCATCTAGCCCAAGGGTGGCATCAATGCATCATCCCTTTCTGAACCTCCTGTCGCACCGTAGCCTCGTCCCTATAATCTGTACTAATTTCCATTCTTTATACGGTATAAAAGCAACTCCAACGCGGGCGACCCATTTCGTCCACCGGCGTCTGTTTGGGTCGGCGCGGACAGAAAAGTCGGCCCAACGCGCCGACCCAAACGGACGCGCGTCCGCTTTTTGTCCGCCTGCTGACCCATTCCCGGCTCATTTTTGAGTCGGATTTGCGTCGGCACGGACACAAGACGGACACGCGCGCTCGCCTTCTCCTTCCCCTGGCCCGCTGGTCGATGGCAGCCTCCACCATTTTTCTCCATTTCCCCCAAAAAACCCTCCGCCCCGCGCGCGCTCCGGCCGCCCGCCATGGACGACGACCTCGACGCCGCCGTCGGCCTCGCTTCTCTCACCTCGTCCGGCATGACGGTCGCCCCCTCCGGCAAAGGCAAGCCCGCCGCCGCGCCCAAGCCGAAGAAGACGCTGACACCCGAACAACGGGCAAGGGAGTCGGCGAAGAGAAAGAGCAGGAGGCACGCAGCAGCGCGAGGGACGAAGCCATCGCAGCGGACGCCGTCGCCGCCATTGCGCAACAGGAGGTCACCAACGCCCGCGTCGCGGCGGCAACGAGGGAGGCGCTATATATGCTAGGGTTAAACCCTAGCCAGCATGACCTCGTCAACGCCGTCACGGCCACGGCCAGCACCGGCTCATCCACGTTTCCTCGGATGGTGCTGCCCGACTCGCCCCGCGCGTCGGCGCCGCAGCTGATACCCGGCTTTCACGTCTACCCACGGGCCTCCCACCTCTTCGGAGAGAGCTCGCCCAAGGTGAGTGTGGTGGCGCCTTCCGCGCCCGCGCCCGCGTCCATCGACCTCAATGCCACACCGGTGGTCGGTGGCTCGTCATCCGGAGGTGCGAGGAAACGCGCGCGGCACATGCCAGCCGATGAGCTGCCGGGTGCACATAACCTGTTCGACGGAAGCCGGCTTCCGGCGACAATGACTACATGCAAAACATCATATTTGAGGGTGGTGCGGCGGCTGATGGAGGTGCCGCCGGGGCCGGCTACGATCCCGAAGAGACACAGAGTCAGGACGGCCGAGGGGCGTTCACGCCATCCACCTTTGATCAAGATCAGGTGGCCTTCATGGATGATCAGGTCGGCCTGGACCTGGACGGCTTCCCAATCGACCACGAGTTTCCGGAGGACTACGGGCAAGAGGAAGCGTATGATCGAAGGGGAGCCTTTGTTTGAGGACGAGCTCGTCAACCAAGTCGCCGGGATGAAGCCGAAGCGCAAGAGCAAGCAGATGAAGGGATACACGACGGCCGAGGACAAGCTCCTTTGTGAGTGTTGGAGATACATTGGGCAAGACCCCAAGGTCAGCGCCGAACAAAAGGCATCAACCTTTCGGATTCGTGTCCGCCGTGAGTTCCATGAGCGCAAGAAGTTTTCGCGGTACCAAATGCTAAGCACGCGCGAGTGGGTGTCCATTTTGATGCGATGGAGGTGATCCAACAAGAGTGCGACAAGTTTTGTGCCACTCTTGAGAGCATCAAGGCCCGCCCCGTGAGTGGCATCGGCATGCAAGACATTGGTAAGGAAGCGGCCCTCTTTTGTGTCATTCCATTTATGCTTGCATGTCCATTTCCATATCCATTTTGCCAATATGCTTGCATGCACTACATTTGTAGGCATTCCAAACTTTGGAGGCATTCAAGGTCCAACACGACGGCAAGTGCTTCAACCTCTTCCATTCTTGGACAATCATCAAAGACGAGGAGAAGTTCAAGGCAAATATGCCGTCCTCAAGTCGCATGGGGGGAAGAGGGCCGTGGAGGAGGAAGACGGCGAGAAGCCA